CTGAGTTGCCGCCATGTGATTGGCTGATTAGAAATTAAGTGTTAATGAGCAGTTGGACAGGTGTACCTAATAAAGTGGCCGGTGAGTGTATAAGATCATTTCAAGTTGGACCAACAATATTAACACAGGTGTTTCACATCATGAGGTGATCTCAGTGTAAAGCGCTGAGTCAGCAGGTGAAGAACTGTATGGACTCTTCTGTTCCTGTGATGAGGACTTGTTCTTCGTTCTGCAGGTTCTGCAGACTTCAGATGCCTCTCAGAGGAAGCAGAGCACTTACGCTCCTCCAACCATGAAAGGTAAACACGCCACACTTTCAGCCTCACATGACTCACAAGCATCTGCATAATTTATGAAAGACAAGAGGAAGAAGCATTTTCTCATTCAGATGAGGAACAGAGGGATGATTTCTGTGCTCTGAGAGACGTTAAAATGTATCTCAAACAAAAACAAACAACAAAGCTGAGCATCTTTCATCATCAGTCTGGATTAATTAATTAGACCTGATTAAACTCCACCATGACCCAACATAAACTTTATTAAAGTTATGTAGTTTGTAAAATCAGAATAAAACACAGAAATCTTTCAGCTTCTCATCAGTCAGGCTCCTTCTGGCTGCTTTAATCATCAGTGAAATGAAAACAATGAAAAGATGTTTGGTGTCTGGAACGGTTCTGTTTCTGTGTTTCATGTATAAAAGTTCTGTTTCTTTTGTTTGATGTTTAATTTACTCCCTTATTTCTGTGTTTTTGTGGCTGGGTTTAAATTATGTTATTTTTATTTTTCTTCAGTAGATCCAGCTGACAACATGATTTCGTATTGTGACTGATGGCTTCATAGTTAAAAATACAAAAATAAATCAGATTTGTTTGTAATTGAGTAACAACTGAAATCTAATATGGTGCTATACTGATTTATTTTTATCTTTAACTCTCAGAAATACATCAAATGTTTTATTATTATTACTCTGCACTGGTAGATTATTTTCCTTTATGTCATAGATTTTCAGTACTGTAACTACAGACAGCTGATCAAAAAGGCTGAGGTCACTTCCTGTCCACTAACCACAGACATGGATGTCTGTTAATCTGGGCTTCTCCTGTTGAATCAATAGGAAAGTAAGAAAGGAAACTTTGTTTAAATAGCACCTTTTGTAGACACGAACATCACAACGTGCTTAAAGAAAAGTAATTTTCAAATGATTCATAGACTTTTATTTTGAAATTACCAGTTACTGAAACAGGACATGTCACCATAAGTTGGAGAAATCGACGATGATACTGTGAGGCTGCATAGAGTTCTGAAAATTATTTTTCTGTACTAATAATTATTTTGGATGCTCCTGTTGCTTCAGTCACTCTCTCACCTCTCCATCTGGCCATGCTCAGTTTGTTCATAAAATACATAAAAACTGCTGAAACTGTCCTATATTGAAGTTTCACAAATCATACAGTTGGTTTTAAATATTCTACAATCCGTGTAGAATAATCTAGTCCAGGTTTGAAGTCACTGTGTTTTAGTTTTTACACCAGAGAAGATGCTCAAGTGAAAACAGGTGGAACCACACTTTAGCCATTTGTGAAAACTTCAGATTTTTTTCCTTTAAATTTCTGGCTTTACAATGTAAGAAAATATGTAGTTTAAATATCAAAAACTTTTGCCTTTAATCAAGGGAATTTCTTAGTTTTTTCTCTCAAATGTATGACTTTTGGACCTTTTTCTTTTCTAATTTCTGAAATTAGTCTCAAAATTTCTGAGTTTTTTAGCAGATATTTACTACTCCTTTTTTCATCTGCAAAATTTATTTTATTAATTTTTTTATTTAACCTTTATTTCAACAGGCAAAACACTAAGAACAGTTTCTTATTTACAATGTTGCCCTGAAAAGGGCCCTAAAACACCATCATAGACTCAGCCTTATATGCAGGTGAAACTCATGAGCTGTCATTAACTCCAGCAGGTGTTTAGTGGGTCAACCAGGAACAGAAAACTGGAATCCTTACAGTACTCCCCCTCTCAAGAATTACCTCTTTTCTCAGTGTGAACTCTGTAAAATGAGGAGATTAGTGTTGGGATCAAGAATGAAGGACTCAGGGATCCAAGACTTCAACCTCTCTCCCGTAACACCTCAAGTCAACAAGTTATCTGTGTGGTGCACATCCAGGATGCTTTGCACAGTAAACTGGATGGTTGTCAGTATGTAATTCTGGGAGTGTCTTTGACTGTAATAGCACAGGTGGACAGCTATAACTTTTGTCCAACATGACTCTGAGAGTCAGAAGATTGATGACTGTTTGTGAATTTCTCATTATGTTCTGCCAAAAAAGTGCTACTTTAGCTTGTTGCCATGTCCTGCAACCATGCTGTAGATGATGCTGGACTGAAGGCAAATAGACTCTTTGTTAGGAAACAATAGATATAAGTGCCCAGGTTGGTCTTTAAAAGGAGATAAGCTTGTAGCGGAGGAGGTTGGAGCATCGTTTGTGTACTCAATCCACACGAGATCAGTACTCCAGGTGGATTACTTTTTTAAAGACACTTTGCAGTAGCCTCCAGCTCCTGGTGGCTGAGTTCTGTCACTGTCTGGATGGATGGATGGATGGATGGATGGATGTATGTATGTATCATTTATGAAGTGAGGGGAATCTGACTCACTCGTCACAGAAAGCCTCTTGTTGGAATATTTACTACAGAACATAACTCAGACGGAATAACAAAGGCTGTGTTGTTGATAAAGAGGTGGTTTGTTTTCAGGCTGAAACAAAGGGAGCAGTCAGGGACTGGTTCAAACTTTAACTAAAGGCTTTTCTGTTCGCTTTCATTCTGATCAATTGTTCCCTCACACTCACCAAAAACACCATCTTTAATTCATTAACTCTAATTAGTCACTAAGTCTGAGTGAGAGTGGATGGTTGGTTTGTTTCCATATGTCCCTGTGGTGGACTTCAGTCACACACTGACCCTCATGGAGTCATTTCAAAATAAAAGTCTGTTACTCCTCCAACTTTGATGCCACACTTTCAGTTGTTGAAAAGATGTTTTGCTAACAAAACAAACACACATGCAGTGAATGGATCTTGCAGCATTTTTTTAACTTGCAGTTTTTAGGTGTGGGCAGAAACTATTAAAAAACTATATGTAGCAACTAACTATATATAGCAACTAACTTTATAACTAACTATACAACTAACTATATAT